CCCCCCCCCCCCCCCCCCACACACACACTCATTCAATTCCATTAAATTATTATGTGTGTAAATATTGAGGATTCAAGTTTCAGATTACATTTTGAAGATCAGTTAGCAGCGAGTTTTCTGACTCGTGTGTGTAGGCCTATCTAGTTTCTTAAACTATTGCTAATTTTCCCCTTCTTTCCTGTTATAAATTATGTGTATATAATTTGAAAAGACTTGTGTATGTGGGGAAAAAGGTTCAATAAATAAGATGGGCTCATGAACAACTCAAAAGTAGCCAACTTTTCAGGAAAAATTTTGTGTACTTCGAGTTAGATAACATGTACCATGTAGGCTTACATGTGCCGGTTTCAAAGCTTTCAATCGAACGAAGAAAAGCACGCTAAAAATCGAATTCAAAATCTGTATCTGGAATACGTTTTTTCGCTGACATTACAATCGGGGATACTAATTTTTGCACGCATGCGCAATGAAATAGTGACCTTACATTGTTTTCGCATTTTCTTGGAAAATAAACTTTGACGAATAAAAAATTAAACGAGGGATACCGTCAAAAATGGTCAGATCACGAGTATTCTGTGCTTTCATTCACTTTAAAATACGGTGTGGGTTGTAAAAACGAAACATAACAACTGTTTGCTGCATGCATAACGAAACTGAAGATTGAGGTTAAATGTAAAATAAAAGGTACTTCCTCAGAGTATTATTATGTTCCAAGTTGCTTTCAAAGCACTGCTTTCCATACACCAAACAACACACAAAATGAATTGACGTATTATTTAATATTGTGTTGGGAAAACAGTTAGATATATCTAACATGTCTACTATCAATTGTAGGGAATCTGACTTTGGGAATCTGTTTGAACATATCACAGGTGAAACGTCATGGTGATGAACAGAACATAATTGCTCACGTTTACTCACATATACTCAAGACGCACGCACCCTTCCCCCCCCCCCCCTTTCTCTCTCTCTCTCTCTCTCTCTCTCTCTCTCTCTCTCTCTCTCTCTCTCTCTCTCTCTCTCTCTCTCTCTCTCGCTCTAGCTCTCTCCTCTCTAGCTCTCTCACTCTATCTATTTCTCTCTTTCTCTCTTTTCTTCTCCTCTCTCTTTAATTTGCACACACTTCTCATTGTTGCTACTAGACAGTCCATCAATGACAATAACGAAATGTTCGTTATTGTCCAATATCAATCATATCAGTCTTAGATTAGCGTAATTGAACCCCCCCCCCCCTCTCTTTCTTTCTCTCTCTCTCTCTCTCTCTCTCTCTCTCTCTCTCTCTCTCTCTCTTTCTCTCTCTCTCTCTATCTCTCTCTCTCTCTCTCTCTCTCTCTCTCTTTATCTCTTTCTCTCTCTCATCATTAGGGTCCATCTCTCTCTCTGTCTCTCTCTGTCTCTCTCTGTCTCTCTCTCACTCTCTCTTCCCCCCCCCCCTCTCTCTCTCTCTCTCTCTCTCTCTCTCTCTCTCTCTCTCTCTCTCTCCCACCCTCCCTGATCTCTCTCATCCCTAGAGTAAACCAGCCGACTCCCAAGCCGACAGCCCCTGTCCTCACCCCAATTTGAGGCAAGATTTTTTTTTGGGGGACGCGGTACTTGTGGAGAATGGAGAATGCTTTAAAGTCTATTTATATTACAGACGTGCTTGTTTCGTTGGGTGTTTCGGCTTGAGGTTATATTCTTAGTCACCATGCCAGCTATAGAGGAGCGGGAGAAGGAGAATCAAAACAACAAGCAAGCCAGCAGCGGTATATAATAATATGTAAAAATTGTAGCAGCAGCAGCAGCAGCAGCAGCAGCAGCAGCAGCAGCAGCAGCAGGAGCAGGAGCAGGAGCAGCAGCAGCAGCAGCAGCAGCAGCCGCAGTGTGTTGATGGCCGAACGCAAGAAGTGACTATATCCACTTTTGGTCGAAATAGAGTAGGCCTAATCGATACGTGAAGTGAGATTTTAAGCCGTTCTTTTACCTCTGATATCTAAGCCTTATGTTAATTCGGTATCGAGATAATAACTTTTAAAACATTTAATTAACTATGTTATAGAGATGATTTCAATATCGTCAAAACTTAAAACTCGTTTTGCTCGAAACTGTGAAAAGGGGATTCACTTCTTGCGCTTAGACGTCGATGTTTCTTCAACGCAGGCGCAACCAGTGTCATGTCCAGGTGGTTTTGGCGTTTAAAAACGGCAATTGAGCAGTCTCACGGAGGACACAAACTCGTGCCCACTGCTGCCTATGTCCCAGCCCTCCCCCCCCCCCCCCCTACCTGCTTATCCCACTCCCACCTCGTTTATTTTACCCTTTCTTTTCCTCGTCTGAAGGCGCGTTTCATGAGTTGCCAGAACAGCACAAACACATGGAATTTTACCACCTTGAAATCTCTCTTGTAGTGTTGTCCATGAATGGAGATCAAGACTATAATATAAGTTCATGTTGGCACGACCTGAGGAGACCAAATAGCCCCAGTAAAGGTTCACAAAGTTTGGAAGCGCATTTTTTCCCCACTTTGCCATAACAGGGGTTTAGTTGCCCCTGAGTATTCACGAACCACATAATGTGTACCAGTAACACGTATAGCAATGGTTTCTTTCTTTCTCTCTCTCTCTTTTTTTTCTTTCGTTCTTTCTTTCGTTCGTTCTTTCGTTCTTTCTTTCTTTTCTTAAAAAAGTGGTAAATTCTCGATCCCATCAACACAACTTAGACCATTTAATTAAGAGGCAGACTTCGACTCTGCCTGTCACAGCCAACCAGGTTGAGAGGGATAAGCCGATACAACAACAACAACAACAACAACAACAACAACAACTACTACTACTACTACTACTACTACTACTACTACTACTACTACTACTACTACTTTTCTATGTCTACTTCTACAACAACTGCAACTACTAATACTGCTTCGCTGTCGCACGCAGAAAACCCGATTTTGATTCCCGTGTCGGGAGATTTTGATCGAGTATCCCAGTCTGTCTAGAATGTTTCAACCCTTTCCCCCAGATTGGCCCTGAAAGGCAGGAATGATTTTAATTCGCCCCTCCCCCTTCTCCTCCTCATCCTTTTGCTACTCCTCCTCCTCCTCATCGTCATCGTCCTTTCCTCCTCCTCCTCCTCCTCCTCCTCCTCCTCCTCCTCCTCCTCCTCCTCCTCCTCCTCCTCCCTCTCCCCCTCCTCCTCCTCCTCCTCCTCCTCCTCCTCCCCCTCCTCCTCCTCCTCCTCCTCCTCCCTCTTCCTCATAACTTCTTCTTCTTCCTCCGGTCGTCTACATTGGGTTCTTCTTCTACTTCTTCTTCTTCTTCTGCTCAACCTCTCCGTTAGAAGGACGTTGCTTCCCGGATCTTCCATCACCCAACAATCAATTGACACCTCCGAAGAGTCAAGAGAAGTATCAAGCACGCATTACGCTGCACTAGACATGAACGCAACATTAGCTTTATCTCGTAGAGAAAGACGATTATGAGAACTGGGTTGGGGGGGGGGGGGGGGGGGAAGTGAAAAAAGGGGAGGAATTCGTGTCGTCTGGTAAAAAGAGCGAAGGGGTTTCAACTCTCGGAAATAAATTATAATGAGGGTATGCGGTAAAG